CAAAAATATTTTTAATGAGCAATTAGGTTTTTTCTTTAGGGTTTAGAACTTTTTTCTCGTCTTAATTTTGCACGCTATTATCTTTTCCATACGATTTATTTTTTTACCACTTATGTAACTGTGCCCGGTTTGTAATAGTTAACTAGGGTTTTTTATCTTCGCATATTTACTTTTCGTTCATTACTTATGTATCTACACCAAAGCCCTGTAATAGCGTAGAATTTTATTTCTTGTTTTTTATTTACATGTTTGTATATAATTGTTAGTAATTTAGGCGTGCATGACAAGAACCAATTAATCAGTAGATCACTAATCATAAGATAAACATAACTGAAAAAACACATTATTGCACATTGGCACCCTTAGGGTATACCTCACTTGGTTGCCTCGAAAATAATGGTCATGTCCCTCGAACGTAAGGGTATCTTAGCAAAGACCCCCGGTATAAAAGTCATCATAAAAAATCATGGTCCCTAAACGTCCCTCGAGTTGCCTACAAGAAATGATCTTGTCTCTCGATGTTGCCTATATGATGACAGTCCCTTCGAATGCTAAGATATCCTTATATGTTGTCTTCGATGACCATAGCGTCCCTTTCGATAGTCCCTCAACATTCGACGATAGGGCTACCTACTCACTGATAGTAGGATAGCACTATCTAAAAGGTAGGAGGAAAAGAACACCCTTTTTCGAGTAGGTAGATGACTCTTAAGTACTTGCTCAAACCTAAAATTTTCACAGTTACACACTTTTAGAAAAATCTTTTAAAAAAATGTTGTATCACACTCTCGAGTACTGATACGAGAGTTACCATAAAGCAAACAAAAATCTTTCAAAACACACAAACACAAACAGTTTTCAAAAAGGAGCAACTATCTAAGAGCCCGTGGAAAACCACGGATGGAAAGGGTGCTAACACCTTCCCTTTCCATAATCTACCCCCTTACTCAGAAAATATTGAAAAGGTCTTTTTCTGTTCTTTTCACCCTTTCCTTTGTTGGATAAAAGAAAAGTCGGTGGCGACTCTTGATTACTGCAACATTTGCGAATACAAACGCAAACTAGTATTAAACAGTCGACTCGACCACCGCATCACATGATCCAATATGACTTCTCCTTCCCTCTACCTCTTTTTCATATCCTTATTTTTTATTTAAGTGATCATTAGTGGCCCAAACTTTATGTTTGAAAGTTCAAGTATGATTCATTATTGAATGTTGGTTCAAAACCTTTGAAGCTTGTTGTTAGGAGGCTTTAATTTTATCAATTCTCTAACAAGCCTCATAAATTTTGACATAAGTTCCATCTTTAATCATCATTGATCATTTATTATGGAATTCATCTCTACTTCATCTCTTTCTTCTTCTTTATATTTGTTTTTACTTGTGCTACATGTTTCAGGAGTTTGGTTTTTACCATGTCTCTAAAATATATGGTACATACATTGCTATTGACCAACCTCAAAATAGGGTGACTTCTACATAAGTCCACTTATGATTGCTTAACATAGCGCTGATTTTATCCCGATTCAGAAAATAATCATTTGTGTCCCAAACTTTATGTTTGTAAGCCCAAGTATGGTTGCTTGGTTCCAATACCATTTGAGACTTGTTGTTAAGAGGCTTTGATTTTATCAATCTTCTAATAATTTTTCATTACTTTTGGTCCAAGACTACCATTAAATCATCATTGATCATATTGTATCCATTGCCCATTGAAAATTAACTTCTATCTTCTTACACATTAATAATTAAATTTACTTTACGCCTTCATTTTACACATTTTATTTTATGCCTTTACTTATATGCACTTTTATCTTTAGCATTTACATTTCATCTTAAGACACCTAATAACCAACTTGAACATTAAAAGACTTGAGACTCTTGTTTGTACTATTGGCTACTATCCTTGGAATATTAGAGTTGTGGACCTCTTGAACTTAGGATTAGAAGCCTTGCCCTAATACTTTGAGACCTTAAGACCTTTGGACCTTGTGTTATTTCATTATTATTTTGCTTGTATTGGGAAATCTTCTGTGTGCAGGTGTTATTCTATAGGTCTTAAGTTATCTATGTGGCACATGGATCAATATTGAAGACCTTGCCTTGGGTTTTAAAACCTTGGGGTTTCTTTGCTACTTCTTTGCTTGTGATTTATTTCACATGGATGGTTGGTATGCTCTTGGTCTATTTGGTACTTATGGATTTTAATCCAAAGGATGAGAATTCTATATTAACTTCATAATGTCAAGTGTTGGATTCTTGTTTGGTTAGACATTTCCTTACCTTAGCTTTTACTTTGTGCTTTAGGATAGTCTCTTCATCTCTTCCCATTCTTCTTTAATTTTCCAAATCTTCTACCTTTTTCAAAGGATTCTTATTTTATAAGTCGAACCGCTTTCATAAAAAAATTTGGACTTAGGTCCATGCATTTTCAAGATTCTTTTCTTAATAAAATCATCAATCAATCTTAATCAAGATATGACTTTTTTTCTTCAATACTTACAAAATATAAAACAAATTCAAACCTTTTTGTCGCTTTGGCTTTCCTCTTTAAAACCTTTTTCTTAAAATTAACCAACACATAAAACTTTTCAAAAAATTTCAGAAGAACTACGAGTGCCATGATCCCCTGTTACACGAAAGATGGTACATAGGAACAAAATATTTGCAATTGCGACGGGTGCAAAAATTGTAAAAACGACTTCTATTCTCATCTCCATATATAATCTCATTTTGTAAATATTTTTTTACAGCCAAAATACACAGATTTTGAAAGAGGTTCATGCGGAGTACCGTAGATGTTTAGGGTGCTAATACCTTACCTTTGCATAACCAACCCCCTTACCTTGATCTCTTTCTTACTTCGGGTTTTATTTGCTATTTTCTCTTTCCTTTGAATAAAATAAAAGTACGGTGGCAACTTTCACTAAATTTGTGAGTTAAGTTAATCAATGACTTAGTCTTAATATTTCTATCGCTACAACGGTGTCTCCAGAAATGTATCTCCGAATTCTCTATGAACTCATTAGGAGATACATTTCTGGAAACTATCTGTTCTAATTTTCCAGCAATATATTTTCTGTTTTAGATGTTTCTTAGTATTTTATGTTTTTGTTTTCATTAGATATGGTGCATCCCAATATTTCTCCCAAAATTATTGTGTCTCTGAATGCTTCACTTGTAGTTGTGAATGAGGTAGATATTGACAACCATTTTAGAAAGGAACAAGAGTTTGAATTTCGTGATCACATGCTTCAATGAATTTGTACAGAGGCATCCATGCTGGGGTTTGATGTTGTAATCGAAAGGTCTAATAATGGTTTGGATAGAAGAGGTGCATTAGTAACATTTACATACGAAAGAAGTGATAAATATACACCTCCTCTCTAAAATTTCAAATGAGAAGAAACCAGTTTAAGAAAAATGTAAGTGTCTATTTAAGCTGCTAGGTTATCAGTTGGAAAATAATAAGTGGAGATTTAATATGACATGTGGTTTTCATTAACCATGATTTGTGTGAAAAGTTAGCTGGTTATCCAATTGCATGTCGTCTCATGCCGGAAGAGAAATAATGTGTTTATGACATGACAATGAATTTGGTGCAACCGAAAAACATACTTGCAACCTTGAAGCGTAAAACACCCGGAGAATATCGCAAAAATCAGACAAGTGTATAATATGTGTTATCAAACTAAATTATCACTAAGGGGGGATAGAACTGAAATACAACACCTCTTGAAAAGTCTTTGTTTGCACTAATACGAATGGACGAAATTTGCATTCATTAGAAAAAGCTCAGTTTTGATGATGATGGTGTCATGAAAGAAGGTAAGTTGGTAAAGAAGTGAAGATTGAGTTCATCAACTATGAGCTGAAGACGGGCGCTGATTTAAGGGCTATGTGGAAATTTTTGTCCTGTTTAGAATCAAAATTTTCGATCGAGCTGGATGCGACTGTTTCGAGATTGGTCGATGATATTATCAAGATATTGCAACGTCCACCTGAATATTGAAATGTAATATTTGATCTATGTTAAAATTCCTTATGTATTGCTGATTTTATGATATCAATGGTAATTTTATTTTGTCAACATGCTGTTTTTTGATTCTGTTTTTCTGCTTCTGCTTCATAACACTCCAGAAATACATCTCTGAAAGTTTTAAGAAAATTCATCTCTGAAATAAATGATTCATCAATATATAATTGATGCGTCCTAAGATGTATCTCTAAAACCTGAAAATATTATTGTATTTTCACGTAGTGTGCTAGAGATGTCTAGAGTGCATTAAGAAATTCTCCCATTTATTATCATTCAAAGTTTTTCCATTGGCCCTGAGTCCATCATTGATATGAATCCTATTTCTATTTTATTTAATTTTTGTGGTAAATTTAATTACTCGTACTCTTGTAAAATCGGGCAATTTTTGGATTAATCACTTAAAAAAGTTTATTTGTATTTATATTATTCTCTTTAACGAAACGAGTTAATTTTGTTATAGTAAAAAACAAGTTTAAAAAATGAACCAAGAGTGAGTAAAACCAGGGGTGTAAAAATCAATTATATGCGGGCCTAACCCATTTATAAATTCTAATATCTTGTATTTTGATGTTATCTTAGCAATTTTTTTTTTTGGTTTCATTTATCATAAAAAAAATTTTATTTATAAATTTAGTAAATTATTAATGTATCTAATCTATATATTTATTAAATACATTAGTTATTTTTAAAATATTTTTGGGATGGGATAATAAATTATGTCTATGTCTTTATTTTAGCATTAGAATCCCAAGTAAGAAATTTTGATGCAAAAACTTTATCTGAAAATGAACAAATGGATTTTATTATTTTCTCCCCTAATGAAGTGTTAAAGATGGATGGAAATGAAAGGCTGTGGATTGAAGGAAAATGAGGTGGAGGTAAGTCCTTGTGTTATCACAACACAACATAATAATAAGAGGAAATGAGACACACACTTCAAACTTCACACTAACACAAGTATGGCTAGATTGGTGGCATTCCAACAGAATCAACTGTCTTTCCCTCCTTTAGCTTCCTCTCTTTCTGATTTCAATGGAACAAGACTTCAAACTCACATTCAGGTTCTTCACTTCACTCTTTTCAATAACATTCTATTATTTAATATCTTGCTTCATCATCATGCTGATTCATTTCTGTTACAGTTGAAAAGAAAAACATGGCAGCCAAAAGGATCCTTATATGTCTCAGCATCAAGCACAAAGAAAATTCTCATCATGGGAGGTACTAGATTCATTGGTGTGTTTTTGTCTAGGCAACTTGTCAAAGAAGGTCACCAGGTATGTAAGTGTCCACGGATACTGTCACTTGTAATTACGTTCAATTTTTTCATTTATTTAAATTATTATAGATGTCAACTTATTAGTTAGCATTGTGCCGATGTCAGCATGGATGTTGTGTCCGATGTCCGTGTCTGTCTCGTATAGACTTTTTAATTGTATAATAGATGTTTTAGAAGCTGTATAACTAGTGAATTTGGTAGGTAACTTTATTTACAAGAGGAAAAGCACCTATCACTCAACAATTGCCAGGTGAATCAGACACTGATTTTGCTGATTTTTCTTCAAAGGTATAACACTAATTATAACTGTAAAAAATTTCATCATTGTTAATACATGGAGCATTCATTATTTGTGTTATGTATTTCATAGATCTTGCATTTGAAAGGGGACAGGAAGGACTATGATTTTGTAAAATCTAGTCTCTCAGCTGAAGGATTTGATGTTGTTTATGACATAAATGGTATTTAGATTGTGATTTTTCATGATATATATTCTCTCTTCAAATTCATATCAAGACTTTTTCGATGTGTGTTTCAGGACGAGAGGCGGAAGAAGTCGAGCCAATACTTGATGCTCTCCCCAATCTAGAACAGTAAGCTGTAGCAGTAGTTTTTGTTGTGTTCTATAAGTCTATTTCAACTATAAACTCAGTCTCGGTTGATCTATTCGTTAACAAGTTGTTTAGTTAATCGTAATCGTTAAATTTTTTTGACTAGTATTAATCATAATACCTTAAATGTCAGGTTCATTTACTGTTCTTCTGCTGGTGTCTATCTCAAATCTGATTTATTACCTCACGCCGAGGTCAGTGTAATATTCCATATCATATTTCGTTTTGATTAGTTTCAATTATCTTTTATTAACTCTGGTTTTTGTTGATAGATTGATGCAGTTGACCCTAAGAGCAGACACAAGGGAAAGCTTGAAACAGAAAGCTTGTTGCAATCAAAGGATGTTAACTGGACATCTATAAGGCCAGTTTACATTTATGGACCTTTGAACTACAACCCTGTTGAAGAGTGGTTCTTCCACAGACTGAAAGCCGGTCGCCCGATTCCTATTCCCGGCTCAGGAATACAGATAACTCAACTTGGTCATGTTAAAGTACTAATGAACCTTTCAATATTACATTTCTTCAGTGAACCATACATTGTATAAGATCTGCTGAGTCACGTGCTATTGGACTAGTTTTTAACAAATGATCTCCTATCAACGAAACTAATACAATAGTGTGTAAGTTTATCGCTTTATGTGATTTTGTTTTGGCTAAAATAAGGTTCAACTGTGACAGGATTTGGCGACAGCTTTTGTGAAGGTTCTTGGAAACGATAAGGCCAGCAAGCAGATATTCAACATCTCAGGAGACAAATATGTCACATTTGATGGACTAGCAAGAGCATGTGCTAAGGTAAACAATTATCAATGCATGTTATGTTAGATGTATGGTCATAAGCATAGAATAGTGGTAATTTCCTTGATAATGTCTTGTCATTTTTCAGGCCGGTGGGTTCCCTGAACCCGAGCTCATTCACTACAATCCTAAAGATTTTGATTTTGGGAAAAAGAAATCGTTTCCATTTCGCGACCAGGTGAATCAACTGAAAAAATCAGTATTTGGCCTAATGATAATACCGAAACTTAGCTGATATTGTGAAACTATGATGAACAAACATTGATATGTTTTATTAAATTTCATTGTGCAGCATTTCTTTGCATCAGTGGAGAAAGCAAAAAGTGTGCTTGGGTTGGAACCTGAATACGGGCTTGTAGAAGGTCTTACAGATTCGTATAACCTCGACTTTGGTAGAGGAACTTTCCGCAAAGAAGCTGATTTTTCAACAGATGATATAATTCTTGGCAAGAGTCTTGTTAGTGTATGATGATTATTACAAATTACTCTTATAATTTATGTATGTATTTCACATATTATATAATACTTGCTATAATATCATCTGATAAAGTTCTGAAATATTCATAAGCTACTCATTCAGTGATTTTTTTTCTTCCTAAAATAAAAGAATGTTCCTGCTTACAATTTATCATGATGTATTGATACATAAATTAACATATGGTATAACGAATGCATCTGAAGTGATCTTTCTTCTACAATGATCATGATTGGATTCTGAGAGAAATCCCAATCACAAGATGAAAATGATGAACCAATGAATAATGGAGAGAGTGAGAGAATTAGAGAGAATTATTATCGAAATGGAATTAATAGAGAAAACTTTATAAACATGTGTTACATAATTAACTAACTTTTAGTTAATAACCACATATATAGTTAACATTAACCACGTGTTGAACTATAGGTCTATAGTTAACCATATGTTGAACTATCAATCACATCTTATTGAACTATCAGTAATCACGTGTTGAACTACCGATAACCACTTATTGAACAATCAATATCCACATGCTGAACAATCAATAACTGGCTATGACCACTTGAATTATTGTTTTCTCAACACACCATCTTAATTCAAATCTTCTATGTCTTCCATACTCATGTGTTTTTTCAACCTCTAGAATAATTCAATTGACACTCCTTTGGTTAGCAAATTAGCCACTTGACCTTCACTTTTGCAATACCTCAGTTCAATTTTCATTCACTCACAAGTTCTCTCAATTAGTGAAATCTCATCTATATATGCTTGATTTTCCCATGTGCAATGGAATTCTTAACAAGGTTTATAGTAGAAACGTTGTATATCATTAACGTCACAAATTCATACTCTTTGTTACACAACTCCTTCATCAAATTCATCAACCATACAGCTTGACACGCGCACATAAACGTTGTAATATACTCAGCCTCGCAAGAAGACAACGCCACAACTGATTCCTTATTAGAACACCAAGAGATTGTTGTTTCTCCATACATAAATATGTATCAAGTAGTAGATTTTCTGTCATTTTTATCTCCACACATGTTTGAGTCGGTATAACTGAGGAATTTGCAACTTCTACCTCTATCTGTTGCGGGAAACATAATTTTAAAGTCAATGGAATCTTTGACTTATCTCAAAATTCTCTTGACTGCTGCCAAATGTGATGCCTTTGACTTCTGCACAAATATGCTCATTATGCCAACATTATATGCCAAGTCCGGTCTCTAATTGCACAAATGATCCAATCAATCTCTGGTACTGCATTGGATCAATATCCCACTCATCTTCATTCTTTAACACCTGCAATCTTGGCTCTGCATGGATAATGGTCACATTACAATGCTCCATTTTGAACTTCTTCAATATATCAAGAGCATACCTTCCTTGATGCATGAGCAGTCCCTTTTCGGACTTGTGAAACTCAATGCCAAAGATATATGTCATGAGACTAAGGTCGATTATTTCAAACTACTTTATATCACCATTGAATTCGGTAATGTAACCTTCGTTGCTGCCTGTAATTAGTAAATCATCGACGTAAAGACATATGATGATTAATCATTTGCTTGTATCCTTCTTCACATACACTCTATTTTCGAATACAGATTTATCAAATCCTATCTCCTTTAGAAACTCATTAATTCTTTTGTTCCAAGCTCTTGGTGCTTGCTTCAGTCCATACAATGCCTTCCTGAATCTATAAAATTCAGATTCCTAATTTTTCACAATTAAACCTCATCTTCCAATGGACCATTCAAAAACGCAAATTTGACATCCATTTTGTGGATATACCAGTTGTTGTTATTTGCAATAGAAACAACTAGTCTAATTGTTTCAATCATAGCCACTGATGCAAATACTTCTTCAAATTCTATGACTTCTCTTTGCAAAAATCTTTTTGCCAATAATCGAGTCTTATGCTTGATTGTTTCACCTTTAGAATTTTCCTTCACTTTGCCTTTCTTCCTTGTGCGCAGTTATTTGTGCAACCATTGTACCTTCTACAAGTGGATTAACTATATTCTTGATTACTTCAAGAACATCTTGATAACCTAACAACACCTTCATTTGTTTGCACCACTTGTCATAATTCTTCACATCGAGAATTATGAGATTTGCAGAAATATGTTCATGGGAGATGGAAAGCATTTTCGTCCCCTAAGTGTTCAATTAAAGAATTTGTCTCTTGATGCCAATTGTTGGGGAAATCTCAATCGCAAGATGAAAATGATGAACCAATGAGTAATGGAGAGAGTGAGAGAATTAGAGAGAATTATTATTGGAATAAAATTAATAGAGAAGATTTTATAAATATTTGTTATATACTTTATATAGGATCATACTACTAACTAACTTCTAGTTATGAACCACATCATAGTTAGCATTAACCACATGCTAGACTATCAATAATCACATGTTAAACTATCAATAGCCATTTACTAAGCTATCAGTAACTACATATTAAACTATCAATAACCATTTATTGAACTATCAGTAACCACATATTAAACTATCAATAACTACATGTTCAACTATCAGTAGCCGGTCATTACCATTTGAATTACTATTTTCTCAAGAATACTTGTATTCTGCATGTACCAAAGCATTCACATGAATAAGAAAGCTATTAATGATATTATTTATATCCTAAATTTCCTCCTTAAATTCTTGAACAATGATATATTGAGTTGTAATATTTTAACTAATACTTTTTTTTATCATAGCACACAGAAGAGTGATTATAGTACACATTTGAGTCATCAATTGTTAGAATTAATTTAGATTTAATTAGATATTAATTTATATTTAGGAATATCTTTTAGATTGTTTATATCTTTGTTGGAAGATATAAATCTTAGATCTTCTTATATCTTTGTAGAAGATGTATTTTAGATTTAATTTGTGTGTATAAATAGCCTAGTGGAGTAGATTATTGTAATTCATTGTAAATTCTTTTTTTGAAGCTATCAGTAAATATTCCTTTTGCCTTTTATCTTCCTGGTGCTCCAACAATTTGTATCTAGAGCTCTTGGTTAGAAACTCTGGAATTTGGGAAACATTGATTTTTATTGAGTTTCTACGTAAATTGCACAAGGTAGAAGATGAATGGAAATGGCGATATTAATTCCAAGCTTCCAGTATTTGATGGCAAAAACTGGAATCGTTGGAAGATCCAGATGCGCGTGTTATTAGGCTCTCAAGATGTGTTAGAACTTGTTACTGATGGCTATAATCTGTTAGAAGTAGATGCAACAGAGGACCAGAAGATAGCACATAAGGTACTGAGGAAGAAAGATCAGAAAGCGTTGTTCTACATCCATCAATGTGTGGATGTGAATGTGTTTGAGAAGATTGTTGATTCTGAAACAGCAAAGGCTGCCTGGGACACACTGGTCAGATGTTACGGTAGTGACGCATCAGTGAAGAATGTGAAGCTTCAGTCTCTCAGAAAGCAATATGAGAATCTCAACATGAAGGACAACGAGAAGGTTTCTGAATACATCTCTAGGGTGATTCTGATCACTAATGAGATGAAAGCTTGTGGAGAAACTCTGTCTGAACAAGTAATTATTGAGAAGATCTTGAGATCTTTAACTTCTCAGTTTGATTACATTGTTGTAGCAATTGAACATTCCAAAGATCTGAGCACCATGAGAGTTGAAGAGCTGCAAAGTAGTCTAGAGGCGCATGAGTTGCGTATAAATACAAGAACTTCTGAGAGGGAAGTAGAGCAGCAGGCTCTGAAAGTAACTTCTGGTAAGAAACATCAGAAGCAGACTTGGTCAGAAGCCAGGAAGAAAACTAATGGTGGTCAAAAGTCAAAAGCTTCAAACTCTGATAGGCAGAAGAATGTCTAGAAGGGAAAGGAGAAGTCTGACAAGAAGAATGTTCAGTATTACTGTTGTAAGAACTTTGGTCACTATGCCAGAGATTGCTGGTCCAACAAAGAAAGGAAGTCAGAAGAAGCAAATATAGCAAGAGGAGACTCTGATGATGAACCTGTGCTATTTATGGCTTATGAATCTGATGAGGAACCAGTGAAATTTTCATTTTCTGATTCTGAAAGGGAAGAAGAATATGACTCTAAATATTCTGATTCTGAAGGAGTGGTTTTGTATGAGTCAGAATCAGAATATGACTCTGAGTCAGAATCAGAAGATGGCGCTGAAGATTTTGAAGATGAGTCATATTCTGAGGTTTCTGAAGACGAGTTAGAGTTAGAAGATGACTCTGAAGCTGAAGACAAGTCAGAATTCAAAGGTGATTCTGAAGGAGATTCTACTTTTGAAGAAGAGTCAGAAGATGATGACTCTGGAAACTCTGAAGGTGAGTCAGATGGTGAATCTGATTCTGATCCAGATTTTGATGATGATCCAAAATTTGGTGGTGATCATGCTTCTAGAAGGAAAAACTCTAAAGACGTAGGTTCTGGAGGACAAGCTTCTTAAGATGATCATGTTTCTGGTAGAAATCATGATTCTGAAAGTGAAACTTCTGAAGGCAGAGGTGATCCAACTTTTGAAGATGGTATTTCTGAAGGTAGTGGCTCTGACTCTGATGGTGATCCAGACTCTGAAGACAGTCAAGGTTCTAGAGAAAGTCCAATTTCTGAAGCAAGTGCTTCTGAAGGGGAAAGTTCTAGAGAAAGTCCAATTGCTGAAGCAAGTACTTTTGAAGGGGAAAGTTCTGGTGTTCAAAGTTCTGAAGGTCCAGTTCAGAGGCAACAAAGAGTCAGAAGCATCCCAAGAAGATTTGCAGAGTTTGACATGTTGCTAGACACTGAAGTAAACTCTAAAGGAGAAGTTATTCAGTGTGCAATGTTAGTAGACTCTGAACCCGTGAGTACGAAAGAGGCTCTTAAGCACCAAGTTTGGTTACAGGCCATGAAAGAAGAACTTGATGCTATAGAGAGAAACAAGACTTGGAAGCTGGCATAACTTCCAAAAGGCAAGAAAGCCATCAGCGTCAAATGGGTTTTCAAGCAG